TATATATATATATATATATATATATATATATATATATATATATATATATATATATATATATATATATATATATATATATATATATAATTAATTAATTTTGTAGGTGAATTTATTTCAATAACACTTAAATTCACAAGGATGAACATACACATCATTTTATGATTTATATCACATAAAATTCAAGACTTTTATAGCCACGATCATTTTAATAAAGTAATTATAAATGTATAAAAGTAAAATAAAATATTTTAATTGTATTAAATATAAATATTTATTATAATTATTATATGAAGAATATAATAATAATAATAATAAATAAATAAATAAATGTCTAATCAATGGTAAAAAAAATTGACGGTCAACTTGATTTTGGTTTGAATGATACTGACTCCATAATCAATATTGGGGGAGTTATACAATTATTGATGTAAATTTAATTTTTCAATAAAAATATATTAGGAAGATATAATTAAAGATTATTTAAAATAGGTATTGACATTATTTATTTCAGTATATTTGAACAATGTTTTTTAAGGAAAACAATCCTTGGTCACCTATTATATAAAGTATTTAACTCTATGAATTCTTTCTGATTTTACTATTTGTTTTAGTAAGTACGAAGCTTTATCAAAGACAAAAATATCTAAAAACTTGCACAAGTAGAAAAAGTGTAACCCAAGCAAAGTCTCCAAATAAATTCATGTTCCCTTCCATTTCTAACAGTTGTGGATGCATAGGGGACACACCATTCAACTGGTGATGTTAATTCCACTCTTTTGATGACAATAAGTAAAATAATCTCTTTTATTCCACTCTTTTGATGTTAATTTCTTTGTATTTCTTGTGTTTTACTAATTCATCTTTTTTGTGTAAACAATGTTTATGTCTTTGAGGTCGATCGACCTTATTAATAGGTTTCATAGATTAAATTACATCTTTTATGTGTTGCACAATTAGCATTTCAATGACTTAATGATTTAGAAAGGTAATAATTTTATGTTAGTAGTTAATTTTGATAGCACAGGTAGATGATGTTAAAAAGTCATAAAAACTTCGGAGTTTGGTCATTAAGCGACTTCAATCGGTGTCTTTATGTTTTATAGGTTCTGTAGTATGAACATAACTCGAGAGCATAAAATCCATAGTCTACAACATACATCACAATACAAGATAGCCCCTCCAAACCTTAAATCATACAATATTATGAAATCAACATATAAAACCTCTCTTGAATCCTGTCATGGAAAATGCATACATTGTGTATAAAGAAATCTTATCGAACCATGTGTGGGGGAATTGAAAGACTTGCTATGGGATTCATACACAACAATTAACACAATTACGATGAAGAAGAAACATGTTCTCACTTAAAGAGGTTGTAGTCACCTTAAGATGACTAGCCAAAACCCTAAAAAGATGTCTAGGTTATTCCCTCTACTCCTTTCTCTTTCTCCATTTTCTTTTCCTTTCTTTCTTTTTCTTCCTTGCTCTAGATTTATTGAGAATGTATAACTAATGTGAATGGGTTAGGGTTGATGCACTTGATGGTGCTTACAATCATTACATAGAGCATTAATTAATAGATTTTAATGGTCCCGTGCTTAGGGTAATCACTTAGCACTATTACATAAGGGTTTCAAACACCATCTTTGGATCTCTTAAGCTTAGCAAAAGTAGGGTTAGGATAAGGTTTCAATTTCATGCCTTGGAAGACTTGGTGCAAACCATCCAACAACATATCGCAAAAGAATGAACATCTATGATTCCAAAGGTCACGTGTGATTTTTTCTAACCAATCAAAACATATTATCATATTCAAACATCACCCTTAAGTTAACAAAAATCAAATCCCCATTTTTTTATCCCATGTAAACAAAAACAAAAACAAAAATACAAAAATGAACATAAAGCCTATTCATGAACAACACCTACGATGGAATGTTAGCAAAATTTTTTAATATCTTCACAACATCCGCATTATTCCTTTATTCCAATCCAATAGGTGAGACTTTTGGTTTGTGGAGTTGTTCTCTGTCTTTAAACCTAAAACTCTTAAGCCCAACTTGTTCCAGATTTGTTAATTAATATTATTTTGAATGTCACACATGTACGTGGCTCTTTGCATGTGCCATATTTCTTAGACAAGCATGAAATGCATCTTTGTTGTTTATCATCATGAAAGACGAGTATATATAAATGAATATACTTGGATTTCTCTTTCTGGGGACATTTTTTTTTAATTATTATAGTTAAATTCATTTGCAAAAAATAATAAATGACTAATATAAAAAAAAATAAAAATAATATATATATATACAAAGTGTAGAAGCCTACTACACTATTATAAACATAGGTGAAAAAAAATATGAATTGGAATAGTATCATTTAATTTTATTATAATTTTTTAAAATAATTATATATATATATATATATATATATATATATATGACTTATTAAAAATCACATGTACAAATTTATAAAAAAAAATTAATAAGAACTAATAAATTATGATTAGTAATAATTAAACATTTTTATGTGAATCTGAAAATTTACGGTGAATAATTTAATTTAATTCTATATCAATCAATTATTTACAAAAAGTATGTAATTGAAAACTGAGTTAATTAGTTATATTTTAAAATTATTAATTATAAATTAATTATGACTTAAAATAATTCAATATCTATCTAGAAGTTTAAGTGTTTAAATTCAATATAATCAATTTTGATAGAATTGATTATAAGTTCTTAATTGAAATTTTTATGTATTGAAACTAGTTTAGGGCTAATAATCTGAAATATCATTGGTATGCTTTTTACAATAAACATAAAAATTCATCCTAACTCACCACATTTAGAAGATAATAACAAGCAAGTTCTATACAAACTACTTTTAGATTATATTATGACGTGTATTCTCATTATTGAAATCATTGTTAACAAAAATCTCTAATTCTAATATACTAGAAAAAATATTAAAAATCATCTAAAATATGGTAAAGTATATTCATACGAAATATATTGAAGATGATAAAAAATTTAAATATCACTCCATAATAATTAACTATTGATTAAATATAATCCAGACCGAAAAACTACATGATGCTAAATTCTTTATTCATGCATCATACTTTTAACAAATATTTTCTATAATGTTTTTATTTTAATTTTTTTCTCTAATAACTATATAAGAATTTTTTTTACAAAGAAATGTATAGTTCTCATAGTACTAGCCATACATACAATTGGACTAGATTTTTAGCAATTAAATTCATCTCTTGTATTGAAGTAATACATCCTTCCGTAAAATTCAACCCTTTGTCTTCAAATGATACTACAATTCCTTATTTAATAGTTCTTGGATTTAGGTGGAGTAAAAGTATAAATAAAATCATACTCTTAATTACATAGTAAAACAAAATTATCGTGTAAAAATATATTGTTATTTCAAAATTTATTGTGAATTATTTTTTCACAAATAAATTAATTAAAAAATATTTTGTATAATATTAAAATTAATTAACCTTTAAAATATGTAAAAAAAATAAAAAGATATTGGATGCTGTAAAAATATTTAATTGTTTTTTTTTCCTTTTAAAAAACTAAAACAATAAACAAAATAATATATAAGTATAATTGATAAAAGATTCATGTTATTATTGATAATATAATAATTAATATAAATTACATTAATGTAATTTAATTCTTTCTTGCTTCACGGTTATTTATAATTTTTTTAAAATAAATCCAATAAATATTTTGTGATGACTTAAATATAAAACATTATAGAATAATGATAAAGCTCAAGTAATATACATTATTGTAATGCGATGTATTTACAGTGAAGATATGTTTTATGTTTGCATTATTTTTACAAGACTATAAAATATTAATCAAATAAATATTACTCAATATTTTCACCAAATAATTACAACACAATTTATTTTAAATTATTATAATACATGAATCAGTAACATTTGAAAGTATAATTTTAAAAAAGAAAGTCAAACTTTTAAATATAATGTTTTTAAAAGTGTACTCTATAATACAAAATAATTATTATTTTTTAAGATAAATGACAATAACACTTAAAAATATAACTTTATGAAAAGAAGTCTAACTTTAATATATAATTTTAACAAAATATACTTTATAATACAAAATAATTATAATTTCTTTTAAAATATAACAAATTTTTGTTATATATTGTAATTAAAAAATATTTTAAATTAAAGTAGTATTATACAATATACTTTTAAAAAATAAATGTACTTGGATGTACAATTTCAAAAAAAAAAATCATATTTTCAAATATGACTTATCTATATTGCTTTTGCTAAATGTTTCAAAATTAAGTTGATATCAACCTTACAATGTGATTTTGCTCAATTGTAGAGTTGAATTTGATGTCAGGTGTAGTAGCAAGTTTTAGATCGAGGGAATCTGGTAAATTTATCGGTGAGTGTGTTGATGAACGTGTGGATCAGGAGTGTGATTTTTGAGTGTAAGTCCACTTGAGAGGTACTGTACTGATATGCAAATGTACCAAAAACCAGTTCTGAAAAGGAAATTTTTACAACTTAGCCATTGCCTATAATAAATGGCCCTATTAATTATATCACCAAATTTTTGAAGATCAAATCTGGCACATTTTTACATTGCTTATACTTATCATCATAAGATTAAACATATATAAATCATTAATAGTATTAAAGATATTTCTTATAAGTATTTTATTTTTATTAATCAAGACACTTTAATTAAATACTTATCTCAATATCGCGTGATTTAATCTCACACATCACATCAACACATTCTAACGGATAAATAATCAATCACTTTTTGAGTTGTTATTAATTTAACTCTTTAAAAAAGGAAATATCTTATTTAATTTTAATGTAGTATTAATTGCTATTAACTATTTAGTCATAAATATTTAATTTTAATAAACAAGATTAAATCAATGCGTTTTTTTACGTTAAAAGCGCGTGGTGATAGTAAATGCCAAGAGGGCAATACATTACGTTGAAGGTATTTTATTTTAAGAAAAACAAAAAAAAAAACTATTTTTCTTCCACACTCCACACGTCGTTTTGAGACGCAGACACAGGCAGTGCTATTTAACGATGTTAAAGCAAAACCTTGCTGAGTTTTTGTTTAACAGAGTGAAAAGAAAAGGTTCTGGGTTTGGTTCCTAAAGTTCTAGAGGATGAGCCAAATATTGGAAGTGCCTCTCTAGCTTGTTCTTTGTTTTTTTCCTGATCCAGTTTCTCAGATCTATTACCACCCCTTTCTACATTTCCCCTCTCTCTTACAAATTACAATTCTTTCAGTCCATTTTGAGGAAAGACATGAGTAAAGAGGAGATTTTGAAGATACAGGTGCGCTCTTTTGTCTCTTCCCTCGAACAAGTCCTCACCTTTCTTATTTTCATCTGTTCATTTTCAAGCCTTTACTTGCTGTGTTGTGCTGTGTTTGGTTTTCTTTTTCATTGTTGTCTATCCTGTGTGTCATATATGATAAAGTATCTAGTTTTCTTTTGCTTTTACTTGTCCATTTTATAATTTCTCTTATTTACAACTAAATTTCTCTTTACTGGCTATTGGGATTGCTTGAACATGCAGAAATGTGTTCTCAGAGTGAACATACACTGTGATGGGTGCAAGAGTAAGGTCAAGAAAATCTTGCAGAAGATTGATGGTATGTATGCATGTATTTCTTTATGATAGAAAAGAAAAGAAAAGAAAAAAGGTCATGCTTTGTTTCACTCATGAAAGCTTTCTGCTTATTTTGTTTCTAGGAAGAGAAAAAAAAAAAACTCTTATGATTATCTATATCTTGAATAAATAGTGTGTTTGGTTATTTATTGATTCCATTTCACAGGGGTGTTTACCACCGAGATAGATGCGGAACAAGGGAAGGTGACGGTTTCAGGATTTGTGGACCCGAACGTTCTCATCAAGAAGCTTGCAAAGTCAGGAAAACATGCAGAACTCTGGGGTGCCCCTCCCAAAGGAAACAACAACCAGAACAACAACATTGTGAACCAGATGAAGAACATGCAACTTGACAATGGTAAAAGTGGGGGAAACAGCAAGGGTCAAAAGGGTGTAGGGAATAACCAGCCTAAGGTTAATAATCAACAAGGGCAGAACCCTCAACAGCCGAACTCTCAACAGCAGCTTCAGCAGCATCTGCAACAACTTCAGCAGATGAAAGGGTTCCAAGATCTGAAGCTGCCTCAATTCAAGGACATGAAGATGTCCAACCAGAACCCCAACCCACCCAAAGGGGTTAAGTTCAGTTTGCCTGAGGAGGATGATTTGTCTGATGATGAATTAGATGAGTTTGATGATGAATTAGATGATGACTTTGATGAAGATGAAATGGACGATCCTCAGCATCCTTTGAATAAGATGATGATGAAGCCCCCTATGGGTAATGGGGCTCAAATGATGTTGAATAACATGATGAATGCTCAGAAAGGTGGCAATGGTGGTGGAGGTAATGGGAAGAAAGGAGGTGGTGGTGGTGGTGGAGGACCTGTGCCTGTGCCTGTGCAAGTGCATAACATGGGTGGTGGAGATGGCAAAAATGGCAATGGAGGAAAGAAGGGTGGTGGGGGAGGTGGAGGGGGTGGTGGGGGAGGTGGAGGTGGTGGTGGCAATCTTCAAAATCATGGCATGACTAACAAAAACAATGGTGGCAAGAATGGAGGTGGAATGTCAGATGGTAAGAATGGAAACAACAAAAACGGTGGTGGTGGTGGTGGTGCTCCTGCTGCTGCTGCTGCTGCCTTTCCAAACAGTAATGGCAATGGAGGTAAAAAGGGTAATAATGGAATGGGTGAAGGTGTTCAAACTATGAACATGTTTCCAAACATGGGTGGTCATACTCTTAATATGGTTGGGGCTAACGGAGGTCCTATGGGCAACATGAGCATCCCTATGGGCAACATGCCAATGTCCCAAATGGGTAACATCCCAGCAGTTCAAGGCCTACCAGCTGCTGCCCCCATGAATGGGAGTGGTGGTGGCGGTGGAGGATACTTCCAGGGTGGTGGTGGTGGTGGTCCAGATATGATGCCTGGCAACCCTTACCAACAACAGCAATACATGGCTGCAATGATGAACCAACAAAGGGCAATGGGGAATGATAGATTCCAGCCAATGATGTATGCTAGGCCTCCTATGGCAGTCAATTATATGTACCCTCCTCCTTATAGCTACCCTCCGCCTCCTCCTCATGATCCATATTCCAACTTTTTCAGTGATGAGAATACTTCCAGCTGCAGTGTCATGTGAAGAGTAATGGGTGATGGTGTTGACAAGAAGGGTTGATTGGTTATGGTTGCAAAGTCCTTTCAAATCTGATGATGCAATATTATACAATGGAAATGAGTTTCAATTTTAGTTTGTTTTTCTTCAATTTTCTTCTTATCCCTTATCTCTTAAGTTAAACTAGAGCTTTTGGTCACCATAGGGGAGTAATTTATAGATTTATAATATTTTATGATATTGAGAACTATTAGATCATCATGTAACTGGGATATGGTGATGGTGGACTTCCTCCATGTGAGATGTTTATGTGTGTTTATATGTTGCAAAACAGAAATAAATTTCAGAAAAAAAAAAACTGAGAAAAAAAAGAAGAAGAAAATGGGGTAGACAAAAAATGTCTATCTCACTCTTTTTTTCTCCCAAATCTCATTTTATATTTTTACAATCAATTTTTTTGCTGTATTATTCTTTATGAATTTCTCTGGCACCCACAGTAACATCATGTCCATTAAAGAATGGTTTGTGTTGCTTTTGAAGCTTATAATATTTGACACTGTCCCTGGTTTCAATGTGAGGGAAATCATGAATGTTTGCGTGGTGGGGTGCACACTGAAGTTGGCATATTGAGGGATGGACCCAGCCAGCCAGCATAAACCAAGAACAGTGGTTTTATATAGACTCTTGTGATAAGGGTTGGGTGGGGCACCATTCATCATCAACGTCACTATATTGTGATAACCCCCAAATTCCTGTGTCAGGACTGAATTTATTTATTGCAAAAATACTGTTTATTTATTTATTATTATATAGTTACAGCATCCACAAACAAATGTTTTGTTTTGCAGTACCTAATTGGTACTAGTACTGTCAATAAAGATTCCCATAGAATTACTATTTCACAATATTAATAAATCATAAGCAGTTTTGTACAATAAAAAGCATAGGTAATTTTTAGTTGATAATTGTTATTGAGAGATTGATTTTTTTTGGTAAGAGATGCAGCGCACTAGGCTAGTGTTTGGATTGTTTGCATTCAAGGGCATGATGTACAGAGTTGCATAAACCCAACAACGAATTGCCTGTCTGCATCGATTCTGTTGATTTTCTCTTTCTCACTCATAACAATCACTCTGACAGAACCGTCTTCAACTCGACAAAGTATTATCACTCAAATTTATTTATTTTTTTTAACAAGTTTTAGAATGTTACTAAAAATATAATTAACATATTTTTTACTATAATCTTAATAAATTGTATTTATTAATTTATTAACTAAGTATCTTTACACATGTATTTTCCTATTGATTTATCATTATTTTTTATTATTATCCCAATTATACTTATCATTGTACATTTTTTGTACATGTCTTAAATTTGATATACAAAGTAAAATTTTTATAAAAATAGATATAAACTTTAACTTGAAATGCATGCATATTAAACAACAACAATTTTTTTTCTTTCCAGTGATAAATAAAATATAAAAAGAAAAGTTTTTCGACTTCAAAAATAATTTTCCCTTGTATTGTTGTTCATAGGTTGAAAAATGTTTTGGTTTGAACATGTAAGCTTTTGTATGGTGGTGGAAGCCAAAATTAGGCATCAAATTAAGGGAAAAAGGCAAAAGAGCGTAGGTGTATGTCTATGTACGCGTGGACAATCAAGTTAATCATGGAAGATGCAGCAGGTGTTCATGTTTTGTGCAGTGATGTTGAACACTTTTTCTTCCTTTTAGTGGGTCCTTTGTTTTGACCACACAGAAAACCCTAGGGTTTCACATGGACCCCTCTTTTTCTAACATTATGGTTGTTATTTCTTTTTTTCAATTTCCTGCACCAATTTTTACAATTACATGGGTTTAGATTAACATGTTTCTATCTTAATCTAGGTTTAGTAATATTTTAAGATGAAAACTTAATAAATAATTAAAAAACATAAAAACTAAATTTAAATTATTGAATTTAAATATAATGTATATGAAGTAATCACACATGACATAGTGTGAGAATTGTCAAAGCCTTTGTTATTAAAATATTCGTCTTAACAATTAATATAAAATAATGTGTAATCATTTATAATAGACATAGCTTAGCGCTTGAACTTTTAGAAGCCAAGGAAAACTACCAATACCATTCAATGGCGCCACTTGAGTTATATTTTTCTTACATAAATACTATTCTTTTGGACATTAGGTAATGACTATTAGTTTATTCACCCCCAATAATTATTTGATATACTGTAGATATTTAATTACTTTGTGATAAAGTTTCTTCCTAATGAAATCTAGAAGAATTTGACTTCTTATTATTGGTTTAGGATTTGGTTTGAGTAATATAATTAGACTCACCTAATCTATTTACACTATCATCAAGTAAGTGTAAGTGTTTTGTTTTATGAGATACCTCTTCCAATTTTCACTTGTGATAACTCTGTCTCTCTCCTGTAAAACGAAATCTTAACCTACATCATTGTGTTCATATATTCAATGTTACATTTTTCATCTTAATATGATACATGTAAGTTATGTGGTAAATGAATCTAAACTAAGAAGTTATTTAATTAAATAAAAGTATTTATTAAATTTTGTAATAAAATAATAATATTTTTATTATTTTCTATTCTTAGTTTTCATAAATTCCTTCTATGTTAAGATGAGATCAATGCTTGTTCTCAAAACAAGATCTCAATGACTGGTGAGTTGTCCTCTTTCCCACTAAAAATAATATATTTGTGGAAGAATTATCATCGAGTGCATCAACTTTTTTTTTTTTTCTATTTTATTTTGTTTTACATAGACCTTAATGTTGTCCTACGAAATAATTAATGAAGAATAGAAAGTATTTTTTTTTTCATTATATTATTTCTATTGTATTATTTTTAATTTGTGAAGGAAATAATACTTAAATTTTGTTTTGACTTTTATTTAAAACAAATAATATTAGTGGAAATTAATAAAATTATATTAATGTGGTATGATAATATCATTATAAGTAAATATTTATCTCATTGATATAATAAGAATATGAACTCTGAGAATGAAGATAATTGTCTTTTATTGTCCAATAATATTATTAATAGAATCCATGATGATGTAACATTACTTGAGTATGGTAACAATGCTGATAATAATGTTTTGATAATAATGTTTTGGAATCATGTAATATAGGTGATACCACTTACAATGAAAATTGAACCATCTAATAAAATTCAAAACAACAACGAGGAATTAGATGATACTGCTTACACTGACAGCAAATTGTCTGATATAACTGACAATAAATTGAATCTTCCTAGAAAATCATCAAGGATGAAACAATAGTCTAGTCATTTGTAAGACTATTATGTTACCATTAATCATATAAATCCTAAGAATCATCTTCAAAGCAAATACGAAATTGGAAAATATATGTCTTATAACAAGTTATCATAAGGGTTCAAACGTTTTATTCTCTCTATTGACACTCAAAAGGAACCAAGGACATATCAGCAAGCTTGCCAACATGAATGCTGGAGAACTGCTATGAGATATGAGATTGAAGCCTTGCAGAATAACAAGACTTGGACAATTACCTTCCTTTCATTGAATAAGACTCTTATAGGGTGTAAGTAGGTCTTCAAAATCAAGTATAAGACTGATGGAACTGTTGATAAGTATAAGGCGAGATTAGTTGTTGAAGGCTACATACAGTTGGAGGGTCTTGATTTCCTCGACACTTTCTCATCTGTAGCTAAGCTAACCAAGGTTAGAACCCTATTAGCTGTAGTCGTTGCAAATGGATGAGAATTGAAACAATTGGACATCAACAACGCTTTCTTACACGGAGACTTGCATGAGGAAGTGTTTATGGAAGCATCACCTGGGATTACAGGAATCTCACCAGGAAAAGTGTGTAAGTTGCACAAATCTCTTTATGGTTTAAATCAGACAAGTAGGCAATGGTATGAGAAATTATCCAACTTCTTGCTATTACATGAATATATTCACTCTAATGCAGATCATTTCTTGTTTCTAAAATATGATGAAAATGATAAAATTATGATTCTTGTATACGTAGATGATATTATACTTACGGGTAATAATGTTTCTGGGATTGAAAGAATTACAAATTTGCTGAACAAGGAATTTAAGATAAAAAACATTGGAAACTTAACATACTTCTTAGGTATTGAAGTCGCAAGGAACTCGACCGGTATTCATCTATCACAAAGATGGCATGCTCTCGATCTCTTACAAGAAATGAGAATGCGTTCATGTGCACCTGTTCCTACTCCCATGGTTCCCAATGCTAAACCTTCCAATAATAATGAGTGTCCATTAATTGACATTGCTGCTTTCAGAAGACTTATAGGAAGATTGATTTATCTCACTAACACTAGACCTGATATCACTCACATTGTGCATCACCTCAGTTAGTTCGTTGCTGCTCCTACTATGGATCATCATCAGAAAGTCATGTGTAGTCTACGGTATTTGAAAGGTACTCCTGGTAAAGGGATATTTCTCACTGCCAACAACGATTTACAAATTAAAGCTTACAGTGATTCTGATTGGATCAATTGTGCAGAAACCAAAAGATCTATTACTGGGTATATAACATATTTAGGTAACTTTCCCTTATCTTGGAAGTCTAAGAAACAATCCACTGTTTCCAGAAGCTGGACAGAGGCTGAGTATAGAGCATTGACTTCTACTGTATGTGAAATTTTGTGGATTACTTATCTCTTGAATGATTTGAAGGTTAATTGTTTCAAGCTAACACTGATTTATTGTGACAGTCAGTCCGCAATCTAGATTGTTGCAAATCAAGTTTTCCATGAAAAGACCTAATATATTGATATAAATTGTCATATCGTTTGTAAGAAGATTTGCGCTGAAACTGTTAAAATTCTTCTCATTTCCTCCATCATGCAGTTAGCTGATATCCTTACAAAAGCGCTTCTTTCTACCTTGTTTAAATATTTAAATGACAAGCTAGAAATGAGTAATATATATTCTCAGCTTAAGGGGGCTGTTAAAAATCGGA